AGTTTTCTCTGCTAAGTCTGAATATACAGTAGAGTGCAAAAGTTTTAGGCTGCTGAAGAAAATTATTGTATATTTTCCATCATTTCAATTATTGTATAAAAACATTAGTATAAAATAAGTTTATATCTGTCAAAGTATGTTAGCTTAGCTATTTCAAAACCCCTCTGAAATTCACCCGAGTATTTGCAGTAACCATCAAATATACTCATGTATTTGTTGACTTTACCATTAGAATACCATGTCTGGCCAATCAATACCTCATGAAGTTATTTAACTAATTAACTGAGCTGGTGGTGAAATTTAACATATGCATGGAATGGCTGGGGTGCCCCTAAGGAGAGGATTAGGCACTGAAGCGATATCCATCCAGCCAGTCAATAAAATATCCGTAACCTTTTGTAGAACAGAATAATGTTTTTTTACTTCTTATTGTGTTAGTGGTCATTTGCATGTATTCTAATGTTGTTTGTTTTTCCAAGTACTTATGCACATACTACCCGGATAAATAGCTTTCAGTACTTTCTTTGACCACTTAACGCCTTTGAGCAGCAATGAACATGCTGAACTTTTGAATGGCAATTGAGCTGTCCACAGACTAGCATCACAATGCAATAAAGCAGTGGCCATCCATAACTGTGTTATAATCTCTTGCAGGAAACATTTACTTCTGTCGGGATCGGTTCTACTGGAGGATGAACTCACGGAGGCAGGTGGACCGGGTGGGCTACCTGAAGTACGACGTTCTCAAATGCCCCGATTTCTCCAACCAACAATTCTGAGGCACCACCATTCAACCTGTCTGGGCTTTCTGGCACCCAGCTCAGACAAAACCATCTTCTACAGAATACACTTCTATATTTTGTTAAATAAATGGCTTAGAACATGACAGAACATTCCAGAAAGACTCTGGAATAGTTAAATCTCCTTTTCCAGATAATTGGGTTCTTCTGTAATACTCCCAACGGAGTAGTTAAGATTAAATAATTTGTTTTATTTTTTTAAGTATTGTTTAACAATACAGTGTAATTAGTGATGCTTATGATAACAGGCGCAATATCTTTTATCTTCATATGAACCGCTGTTTCTTTACAGTGTCGATTGTCTCCTCCGTCTACCTTTTGCACTTTTCCGGTACAAACTTGGGATTACGAAGCAGTATTGTGCGACTATATAAAATATTGTGTATATTATTGAATTATGCTGAATAAGTAATTTTATACCAGTATGTAACACAGCAATGGATCCGGAGAAAATCACATGTATTTTCTCCTAGGCGATTTCTAATGTTTGACAATGTAATCCCACCGTAAGCCCAGTGTGGTCAGAGGAAGGTTATATACGTTGTATGAGGTTACATGGGCAGCTCCTGCTGTTCTAATACGATACATGAGGTTTCGGATTATTTAATTCTGCTTAGCATTCGCCTGCCTGGGGCAGACGGACCAACGTTTGTTTGAAAACCGTGACTGCTTAAAATGTTTTATATTGTTTTTGTGTATTTTTGTGTGTTTGTGCTGTGAAGTGATAACAATGAAATGATCCTCACTTTTGCACTGGAACGCATGTTACAAATCAGTCTTGTGATTATTTAATAGGTCACATACATTCTGTCACTGTTAGAATTCCAGTTTTAGGGAAGACTTCATTAAAAATCACTTGTGTACTGAGTTAAACGCTAAGAAGTGCTTCTTGTGGCCTAATCTATGTAACTGTATTATCTAGATTAGGGTTTAACCAGGCACCCTGAAATGAAAATAGACTGGAGCTAGGGACCCCCAACTAAAATCACATGTTGACATAAGGGGTTGTGAGCCCCAAGTTGGGGGGGTGGACGGGTCCTCCCCAGTAAATTCTGCCTGTTTGCCAGAACCTCAAAAAGTGCCCTGCACTGCCTGTTAATAACTATCTAGTCGATCACTAACTGACCACTGATGCTTATAATTATATCTGTCTACAGTATGCTCATGTATCAAATATCACAAAAAGGGCGGCATTGCACAGATCTACAGCACATTTAACTCATTTATTTGACAATTGACTTTATCCAATGTGACTTACATGATCATAATTTCAGAAGTAGGACTGAACAGGTAAATCAGTGAATTCTTTAAGCCGTTGCTTTATTGAGATATTGTTCTGTGCGAGCTCGGGGAGACTCTTCACAGACAGTTCTGAGAAGTTCTCCCAATCGCAGACGCAGCTGCTGTCATTTTATACTGGCAGACAAATGACCTTCCTCGGCAACCACAACCAGAAGACCCATGTCTGCTTTTGCACAGTCTATGCTCAGGACAAGCTTTTCGTTTAGCACAAGCATCTTATATGTGCCATATATGGAATAAAACTTGTCTCTCATCTAGCTTAATATGGGTAAGGTCTAAAACCCCCTCCCCAGTACCTTGCATCCGTTTCTGCAAGCACAGAAACCTTATTTTGCAGCCTAACTTCCTTAGTAACCATCAGACAGCATGCTTGGTGGTAATTTTCCACTACAAGAGAGGGGTTACAATTTATGTGTCCTCCTTTGGAATGAACCCACAATCTTTGCATCATTAGCACAATGCACCACATTCTAAATGATTTTCTGACAAAACTGACATGCTCATTCATGGTTTGCTTAATAGCTGCTCTTTACTTTTACACCAAAGCTGGTAAGTCATTGTGAGATCACACTGGGAGTGACCCATGTGAAATGGTGAGTGGATATGTAATGACTGACTGGCCACTGAATTCGGGGAAAGGGACTTGCTTTTTTTCAGCTGATTGGATAGGCACTGAGAGAGTTTGAACTGTATAGGGTTCAAAGGACTCTCCTTTAAGAAACAGATGTAGCCCCTACGCAGACTGCCCCCCCACCCCCCAACCCCTATCCCACCATTACAAGCTAAATCCAGAGACACATTGGTACTGTAAAGCTTACTGTCTAAGCAGAATCAATCAAAGCCTATGCCTGTTTCATTTGAACTAATATAATTAATTATGATCTGCATGCAGAGCGGGGAGTGTAAATTAAAATATAAAAAGTTTTATTACAACAAACATGTTGACATTGTGAAGAACTGTCGTTGGTGGTACACCAAACTTTTTTTTTTTAATTCATCTGAGGTCTATTTGATTTTGCGCTCTCCTTTGATTTTGTAGAACCTCAAGAAAAAAATGGGATGTGGGGATTTACCTCAAATGTTGTTGTTCACGTTTTTTTTCACTGTAACACATTAAATGTAAATTATATTGAGTGGAGACTGGTGATGCCCAAAATGGTGGTTCCAGCATCTCAGAAACAGCCACCATCCTGAGACTGTAACATCTAGACAGGGGCAGTTCTGTGGCTGAAAACACCATGTTAATGAGAGAGGAAACAGAAGAATGGCCAGACTTGGTAAAGCTAACAGGAGGTGCAAAAATAACAGCTCAATACAATTGTGGTGTGTGAGAAAAGCTTCATTGGACCTTGTAGTGATTCTCTAGACAAAAGAGGGTCGTACCTGGTACCACGGGAGCATACCTAAGAAAGTGGCCACTAAGTGCATATTACTTTATTAGAAGTGTGATCCTGAAATGATGCACTACTTTCTTGTGCAAATAATTTTTCATGGAGTTAATTTACTAAAATCAATATTTCTCACAAATTAGCCCGTCAGGCCAATATAATGCTAGTAAAAAGTTTGCAGAACTTAAAATCGACCATCTACATCAACAAGCCACAAATGGCCATTACAAACTCATTTAAGTTACTTGGCGTATACTGTACACTTTCAGCTCTCTGAAATGGTACACAATTCATGAACACGGACTGCATCACCAAGAAAGCACAACGAAGACTATACTTCCTCAGACATTAAAGAAAGTTCAGAGTCAACAAAGATCTTCTTATCCAATTCTATGCATCCTCACGACCTCCATTACAGTCTGGTAATGTAGCAAGGACAGCCAGACTAGATTAATTATGACTGGAACACATTACATCCGAGACCTCTAACTTAACTGACACTGAGCTCAACTTCATTTACATCTAATCATCTAATGCACTACCAAATGGATCAGCAAGGTTATCTTGGATCCCTCACTCCCAATACATGACCTGTTGCTATCACACCCCGCTCCGTCCGATCCTAATGTGTGCCACGCCCCCTCGTTAACCTCATGTGGAATCCCAGTGTTTTACAGCTTTTTTGATTTGTTGTCATTAGTTCAGTGTATTTAGTCCGCGTTTCCGTTTGTATCCCCAGTTCGGTCATTGACGTTGTTGTGGTGTGCTTTGTGCTTTGTGTGCTGTCATTAAAACCCGTATTCCCCGATCCCTGACGTCCGTTCGCCTGCCTCCCCGATCCGTGCTGCACGCGACGTGACAGAATGACCGAACTCAGCAGAAAGACACCTCACCTCACGGAGGAAGAATATCTCAGCGCTACCGACGAGGTACTGCACTGGCTCGTTCAGCCCGAGGTCCTGGAGGATCCCCTGCTTCGGGCTCTAGCTTACCGGAGCAGGGACGTATTAGAGGTGATGTCCCTACCCGGCGATGCGCACCTGACCGAAGAGGTGCGTGACAACCTAAGGCAGCTGAGACGCGGGGTGGCAGAAACCAATATGCGGAAGGCAGCCCTCGCCAGCGGACTGCCTTTTGGTCCGTTCTCCGAGGTGCCGGAGGTGTCCCAAACGCCGCTGCCCATGACAGGTACTGTAGGCGGCCAAAGAAGAAGCGGAAGACACGCGGACAGGGAGACGCACCCGAGGAAGCCCCAACCATCCGCCTGGGAGCTGCTTCTCTCTCCCCAGCTTCTCTCCTTGTTGGTGATCAGGGGGAATCCCTGAGCACCATGGACACCATCGCAGCGATGCCCCCACAGGTACCCAAAGCCCCCGTCGCAGTGGCTGAGCAGCCGCCTCCATTAGAGGCTTATTTTTATCGGCCGGAGTATCTGGGGCACGGCGGCATACGCGCCGTAAGAGACACTATACCCNTATTGCAGTGCTCTCTGGTGGGCTCTATTGCAGTGCTCTCAGGTGGGGTGTCTTAAGCAGAATCAGCACAGCAGGTTTCGTCAATACCTGAATTTTTCCCATCACCTCCAGACTGGACGTGAAAGCACAGGTGATCGACAAGGGCTACCCCCGCTTGATAGACCTGACTTTTGGAGGAGTTCCGGTTGATGCTCATGACGTCTTCCTATACAATGGTGAGCATGCTGCAAACTCAACAGTGACACCATGAGGAGATACCCAGCACTACACTTCTTTGAAATGTGTTCATATTTGCATAGATGAAGGCGGACTGAAGTTTTCTCTGCTAAGTCTGAATATACAGTAGAGTGCAAAAGTTTTAGGCTGCTGAAGAAAATTATTGTATATTTTCCATCATTTCAATTATTGTATAAAAACATTAGTATAAAATAAGTTTATATCTGTCAAAGTATGTTAGCTTAGCTATTTCAAAACCCCTCTGAAATTCACCCGAGTATTTGCAGTAACCATCAAATATACTCATGTATTTGTTGACTTTACCATTAGAATACCATGTCTGGCCAATCAATACCTCATGAAGTTATTTAACTAATTAACTGAGCTGGTGGTGAAATTTAACATATGCATGGAATGGCTGGGGTGCCCCTAAGGAGAGGATTAGGCACTGAAGCGATATCCATCCAGCCAGTCAATAAAATATCCGTAACCTTTTGTAGAACAGAATAATGTTTTTTTACTTCTTATTGTGTTAGTGGTCATTTGCATGTATTCTAATGTTGTTTGTTTTTCCAAGTACTTATGCACATACTACCCGGATAAATAGCTTTCAGTACTTTCTTTGACCACTTAACGCCTTTGAGCAGCAATGAACATGCTGAACTTTTGAATGGCAATTGAGCTGTCCACAGACTAGCATCACAATGCAATAAAGCAGTGGCCATCCATAACTGTGTTATAATCTCTTGCAGGAAACATTTACTTCTGTCGGGATCGGTTCTACTGGAGGATGAACTCACGGAGGCAGGTGGACCGGGTGGGCTACCTGAAGTACGACGTTCTCAAATGCCCCGATTTCTCCAACCAACAATTCTGAGGCACCACCATTCAACCTGTCTGGGCTTTCTGGCACCCAGCTCAGACAAAACCATCTTCTACAGAATACACTTCTATATTTTGTTAAATAAATGGCTTAGAACATGACAGAACATTCCAGAAAGACTCTGGAATAGTTAAATCTCCTTTTCCAGATAATTGGGTTCTTCTGTAATACTCCCAACGGAGTAGTTAAGATTAAATAATTTGTTTTATTTTTTTAAGTATTGTTTAACAATACAGTGTAATTAGTGATGCTTATGATAACAGGCGCAATATCTTTTATCTTCATATGAACCGCTGTTTCTTTACAGTGTCGATTGTCTCCTCCGTCTACCTTTTGCACTTTTCCGGTACAAACTTGGGATTACGAAGCAGTATTGTGCGACTATATAAAATATTGTGTATATTATTGAATTATGCTGAATAAGTAATTTTATACCAGTATGTAACACAGCAATGGATCCGGAGAAAATCACATGTATTTTCTCCTAGGCGATTTCTAATGTTTGACAATGTAATCCCACCGTAAGCCCAGTGTGGTCAGAGGAAGGTTATATACGTTGTATGAGGTTACATGGGCAGCTCCTGCTGTTCTAATACGATACATGAGGTTTCGGATTATTTAATTCTGCTTAGCATTCGCCTGCCTGGGGCAGACGGACCAACGTTTGTTTGAAAACCGTGACTGCTTAAAATGTTTTATATTGTTTTTGTGTATTTTTGTGTGTTTGTGCTGTGAAGTGATAACAATGAAATGATCCTCACTTTTGCACTGGAACGCATGTTACAAATCAGTCTTGTGATTATTTAATAGGTCACATACATTCTGTCACTGTTAGAATTCCAGTTTTAGGGAAGACTTCATTAAAAATCACTTGTGTACTGAGTTAAACGCTAAGAAGTGCTTCTTGTGGCCTAATCTATGTAACTGTATTATCTAGATTAGGGTTTAACCAGGCACCCTGAAATGAAAATAGACTGGAGCTAGGGACCCCCAACTAAAATCACATGTTGACATAAGGGGTTGTGAGCCCCAAGTTGGGGGGGTGGACGGGTCCTCCCCAGTAAATTCTGCCTGTTTGCCAGAACCTCAAAAAGTGCCCTGCACTGCCTGTTAATAACTATCTAGTCGATCACTAACTGACCACTGATGCTTATAATTATATCTGTCTACAGTATGCTCATGTATCAAATATCACAAAAAGGGCGGCATTGCACAGATCTACAGCACATTTAACTCATTTATTTGACAATTGACTTTATCCAATGTGACTTACATGATCATAATTTCAGAAGTAGGACTGAACAGGTAAATCAGTGAATTCTTTAAGCCGTTGCTTTATTGAGATATTGTTCTGTGCGAGCTCGGGGAGACTCTTCACAGACAGTTCTGAGAAGTTCTCCCAATCGCAGACGCAGCTGCTGTCATTTTATACTGGCAGACAAATGACCTTCCTCGGCAACCACAACCAGAAGACCCATGTCTGCTTTTGCACAGTCTATGCTCAGGACAAGCTTTTCGTTTAGCACAAGCATCTTATATGTGCCATATATGGAATAAAACTTGTCTCTCATCTATCTTAATATGGGTAAGGTCTAAAACCCCCTCCCCAGTACCTTGCATCCGTTTCTGCAAGCATAGAAACCTTATTTTGCAGCCTAACTTCCTTAGTAACCATCAGACAGCATGCTTGGTGGTAATTTTCCACTACAAGAGAGGGGTTACAATTTATGTGTCCTCCTTTGGAATGAACCCACAATCTTTGCATCATTAGCACAATGCACCACATTCTAAATGATTTTCTGACAAAACTGACATGCTCATTCATGGTTTGCTTAATAGCTGCTCTTTACTTTTACACCAAAGCTGGTAAGTCATTGTGAGATCACACTGGGAGTGACCCATGTGAAATGGTGAGTGGATATGTAATGACTGACTGGCCACTGAATTCGGGGAAAGGGACTTGCTTTTTTTCAGCTGATTGGATAGGCACTGAGAGAGTTTGAACTGTATAGGGTTCAAAGGACTCTCCTTTAAGAAACAGATGTAGCCCCTACGCAGACTGCCCCCCCACCCCCCAACCCCTATCCCACCATTACAAGCTAAATCCAGAGACACATTGGTACTGTAAAGCTTACTGTCTAAGCAGAATCAATCAAAGCCTATGCCTGTTTCATTTGAACTAATATAATTAATTATGATCTGCATGCAGAGCGGGGAGTGTAAATTAAAATATAAAAAGTTTTATTACAACAAACATGTTGACATTGTGAAGAACTGTCGTTGGTGGTACACCAAACTTTTTTTTTTTAATTCATCTGAGGTCTATTTGATTTTGCGCTCTCCTTTGATTTTGTAGAACCTCAAGAAAAAAATGGGATGTGGGGATTTACCTCAAATGTTGTTGTTCACGTTTTTTTTCACTGTAACACATTAAATGTAAATTATATTGAGTGGAGACTGGTGATGCCCAAAATGGTGGTTCCAGCATCTCAGAAACAGCCACCATCCTGAGACTGTAACATCTAGACAGGGGCAGTTCTGTGGCTGAAAACACCATGTTAATGAGAGAGGAAACAGAAGAATGGCCAGACTTGGTAAAGCTAACAGGAGGTGCAAAAATAACAGCTCAATACAATTGTGGTGTGTGAGAAAAGCTTCATTGGACCTTGTAGTGATTCTCTAGACAAAAGAGGGTCGTACCTGGTACCACGGGAGCATACCTAAGAAAGTGGCCACTAAGTGCATATTACTTTATTAGAAGTGTGATCCTGAAATGATGCACTACTTTCTTGTGCAAATAATTTTTCATGGAGTTAATTTACTAAAATCAATATTTCTCACAAATTAGCCCGTCAGGCCAATATAATGCTAGTAAAAAGTTTGCAGAACTTAAAATCGACCATCTACATCAACAAGCCACAAATGGCCATTACAAACTCATTTAAGTTACTTGGCGTATACTGTACACTTTCAGCTCTCTGAAATGGTACACAATTCATGAACACGGACTGCATCACCAAGAAAGCACAACGAAGACTATACTTCCTCAGACATTAAAGAAAGTTCAGAGTCAACAAAGATCTTCTTATCCAATTCTATGCATCCTCACGACCTCCATTACAGTCTGGTAATGTAGCAAGGACAGCCAGACTAGATTAATTATGACTGGAACACATTACATCCGAGACCTCTAACTTAACTGACACTGAGCTCAACTTCATTTACATCTAATCATCTAATGCACTACCAAATGGATCAGCAAGGTTATCTTGGATCCCTCACTCCCAATACATGACCTGTTGCTGTCACACCCTGCTCCGTCCGATCCTAATGTGTGCCACGCCCCCTCGTTAACCTCATGTGGAATCCCAGTGTTTTACAGCTGTTTTGGATTGTTGTCATTAGTTCAGTGTATTTAGTCCGCGTTTCCGTTTGTATCCCCAGTTCGGTCATTGACGTTGTTGTGGTGTGCTTTGTGCTCTGTGTGCTGTCATTAAAACCCGTATTCCCCGATCCCTGACGTCCGTTCGCATGCCTCCCCGATCCGTGCTGCACGCAACGTGACCGTTGCCACAACAGTGTTTTCCACACTGTCAGAAAAAAGGGTAAATCTCTGGTATGGTTTTAAACAGACAAACTGCAACATAATATTAATATTCCCCCAATGGTACAAATATGTTCCTCAGAGTGCATTTCTGTACCTTAAATTAAAGGTACATTTACCTATAACTAGGATGCAACTGGCAGACCCTTGGGAGTACAGCCCCAGTGACAAGTAATTGTACCCTTAAAAGTACAAATACTTTTTTTGTGAGCATTGGCAAATACAATGCATGTCCATGTTGCACGTCAGTGTATGTCACTGTGCTAAATGTGGGCATAAAGCAGAACTTAACCTAATCACAATTTCCACCAACCCGTTTGTGTTGCAATAAAAGTTTCGATTCATATTTATGGAAATACTGCCCTCAACTGGTCAGATATGGACTGGCATTTCATTCACCATTATGTATTCCGCTCTTTTTAGTGTTCTGTTTCTGTCGCCACCACCCTGGACTGGATCTGCAGTATAAAGATGGATGGAGGAAGTGTTCCAGGAAGACCCAGTCACTACGTGAATAATCCATCCCTAACACTGGCTGCTCAGTTTTGTCTGAATTTTTGAGTCTGTGTTTGTTCTAGTCATGGATAGCGGCCCTTGGCTAAGTTTGTGTGTTGAATAGTTGGCTCGACGTGTTTTGTCCTTTTTCCGGTGGTAATTTTAGTTTTCATACTCCCGTAAGGATCTGTTTTGTTTTGTTGTCTTTGTGTGTCTTGCGACTCTTACCGTTTTGTTCTTTCTCGGCAGGTGGCTTCTTAATTGTTGCTACTCTGTGTCTCCATTCGCGCTTTATGTTGTCCCAGTATTTCTTCAGGCAGTACCTACTTTGGTTGTTGATCATTTCTGCTCTTTCTTGTTTTGCTGTTGTCTACAGAGACAGAACTCACCTTGGCAAAACATTGAGATAATTGCGCTGCCGTTACTTTACCTAGAGTTTTTTTTATTTAAACCGAGTTTAAATCAGGACAAGTCACTGGGTTTCTTAAAATCCATTGTGCCCGTAGTTGAAAAGTACCAGTGCTGCTTGTGTGGCTCATTGTCTTTGGACTGTACCCCTGATTGTACTGTCAATGGTTATATATATTAGATATATAATTCAGAAAAATATACATATAGATCTCTGATCTAATCCAATTTAAGGCAGACATGATATACAATACAATTACATTATACAATATACAATTCTGAATGTAGTGATTTTACCGAAAATACTTTTCCATAAGTTTTATATTAGACTATATTAGAGATTTGAAGGCCACTGACTTGCAGAATAAGCCTGCGGATGCCTTTGAGCAAGGCCCTTAACCCCAGTTGTTGCAGGGACTATTTTCTCTGATCTTCACTTGTATGCTGCTTAGGACAAATGCGTCTAAATAAATAAATGTTTATTTAAGTGCCTTTTTAAATTAATATACACCGTTGGTGTGTTCATTTACAAATCACCTAAATGACCAATAGAGGTCACGCTTTTCCCACATCTTACCTCAAACATGCTCTGGCCATGGTTCAGCGGCAGTGCAAGTGGAAATGGTTCCAAGTCAAACACAACCCAGAATCAGATATTATTAATAGCCGTCTCAGTACTCAAACTTATATTTTACCTTGTAGGCTGTTGTATTGTGGAGGCAACCTTGATGAAACCTTAAACCGAATCATATGTATTTACAAATGCTGATGTTTATTAGGCTACATAAAAAATAAGTCGCTTATCTTGTTTTTATGATTTTAAAGGAAAAAAGCATTCACGAAAACTGATCTTTTCTGCAGCCTTGCATTAATGCAGATGTCTACAAAAGATTGCTTACAATTAGGCCTGTTGTTAGAATGTAACGCATGTCTTAGCAAAACAAAAAATATATATTTCTTATCAACTTAATTTCCATTGAATGCCCTTGTAGTGACAAATGAGATATTATTAGGTATCCCTTGGAACACAACACAAACACTGTAAATAGGCTAGCTATAGACTATTCAAAAAAGGAGCGTTGCAGTGGTCACAGAATTGGTGTCCACCACCGTCTAAAGCAGAATAGCATATCTTATTGATTGTTCTTAACCAAAATGAAAGTGGACTGTGTGAAGACTAGCATTTTATTTTGTATTTTGATGTAAGAGGGAATTTCACATTCATTTGACCATTGGTTCATTTGTATTAAGTTTTGTATATACTACCAATATGTTTGAGAGAACTGAAAGTGCAGTGAAGAAATTTCTCAATGAATAAAATATAATTCAGTATTACTGAGTTCATAGTAAAGACAATTTAGTTTCTGTTTTACCATGCAGCTGCGTTTTAAACTCAAAAACAGACCATTTAGCTGAAGCAGGCTTAAACCAAGCTAATGACAGAGCAATTTCCGGGCTGTTAAGAGGTTTAGTTCATTACCATCAATTTTACTTAATTCTAGACACTTCGGTAGAGAAGTTTAGCTTAACAAGGGTGATTTCCGGAGTTCAGTCCACTCTGATGTGTCATTGAGTTCTTGCAATAGAAAGTTAAGTAAAAAAACTCAGAAGCAAAGTCAGTCAAATATTTAATCAAGGCTTTTGTCAATGTTGTTTACAATTGCACTGATAAAAAACAATCACATTGCCGATATGTAGGAATTGCTTTCCTTGTGTTTGTGGAGGAGTAGAGTAGAACGATTTGATACATTGTTGTTAGTCCAAGCCCTGAAACACCAGTCTTTTTTCCTACAGGACACCAACTGAGATGCTGTAATTACCTTAGATAAACAAGTGTGCGTGTGTGGGTCAGATATATATTACATTGTGGGGACCAAATGTCCCCAGATTGTTACAAAAAACTGTTATTTTGACATTATGCGGACCATTTTTTCTGTCCCCAAGAGGGGAAATTCAATTTTATAAAAATCTGTAACTGCAATCAAAAAAACTAATTTGTTTGGTTACTTGTGTTTATGGTTAGGGCTGGGTAGGAGTTAAGGTTGTCATCGTTGGGATTAGGGTTTTGCCCATAGAAATAGAAATGAATGGACGGTCCCCACAAAGACATGAGTACACTTCTGTGTGTGTGTGTGTGTGTGTGTGTGTGTGTGAATAAAAGTGCAATATCCCTCCATGGTTACACAATTTCGTGATGCTTGTCCACAGCAGAACAACTCACGATCCTGGCCTTCAGAGAAAGACGCTCCCACGGGAGGGCTCACCTAGTGGGGGCTGTGATTCATACTCGACACATGAGTCTCACTCATGGCCACAAGATGGCAATAGCAAAGCACCTTTGAAGTGAAAGACGGGGGAGAAAAAAAAATCTAACACTTCGTTAACAGTTCATAAACAGCGTTGTGGAAAGAGTGCTACTTTATAACTTAATTAAAAAACAATCTTTTATTTTACTTAATCATCTATCTTCAGCAAATGGTATGTAAATAGTTGACGGTAACCCCCCCCAAATGCCTTTTGCTGAGCTTTCTATACAAAACGAGTAGAGTTGAATGGAAGGAAGTGCTCTCCAGATTGCAACCGCTTTCTGCCCTTGAGATAGACTCATGGGTGTCTGTCTTTTTTCAGTCCCATCCTCTCTCTCTCTCTCGCTCGCTTTCTCTGTCTGTCTCTCTCTCTCATTCACTAAACAGAACATCCTGTCTCACCCACTTATCACACAACCATTAACTGTGTAAAGCAAATGGCAGAAAATGAACCCCGCAGTTGTGGAACGAACACAGCACAAAGAAGCGAGCGGCCACCACTTGTTCCCCGCTGAGCCAATTATATTGTCAGGGGCTCTCTGCTAGACACGGATTGATTGGTTGATTAATTGATTGCTCGGCTGATAAATACACACTTCCGTAAAACAACACCGTGGAAAAAATAACACTCTTCTGAAGCTTTTTGTTTTGTTTTGTATCTAATTCCTTCCTTACACAGTTTTGATGTTTAATAGTCCGTGAGTTTTTCATCACTCGGTCTTCCGTCGATCGCATTGCTTTTAGTCCGTTTTAAATGCATCAGTGCTCGGCAGTGTGTCCTGGCGTCTGTGCTGGAGTTTTACACATCACTGTGGCACCCTGTCACATCCGATGAGCACACGCGTCGTGAATGTCTGCCGGCAATGGAGCGCATTCTTCCCATCCATCCGCTTTCAGATACATCCACCCTCCGTAGACTCCTCTTGACATAACTTATAAGGCGGCGTTTTGGAATAAGCCGCTACTCACCAATTATGCCCGATCGCACGCTGTCCCAAAAGGCAATACCTGTATCCAAGATCTGTGCTGCTAAATGACTCGTGCAAACAATGGGAACTTATTTCCTAAACATGAATTTAAAAAACATAGATTTATTTGCGAATGTCAATACCAACAAACAATATTATAAAGATCTGGTTCATGCAATTCGCCGGAGAGCCATGAATATGTACACCACATTGTGTTCCATACGTCTTAATCCCTTTAAAAACTAAAAGTAGTCAGGCAAATATCAAGTTAATTCAGAAAAATATACATATAGATCTCTGATCTAATCCATGTTCAGGCAGACATGATATACAATATTAATTCTGAATGTAGTGATTTTACCGAAAATACTTTTCCATAAGTTTTATATTAGAGATTTGAAGGCCACTGACTCACAGAATAAGCCTGCAGATAACCATTTAAGGGATTGCATCTGAAATCGGAATGGTAAATGTCCTCTTAAAGGGATTCTGCACTTGTCTAGAGTTAAGTCAATCCGATTTAGGACGCATTAATTTCTATTAATTTTTATGTATTTCACTAGATTGATTTTTAATTTTTTTTACCCGACAGTTTTGGTTGCTGCAGTATGTAAATGCTCGTGCAAACAGAAGCATGCTATCTTTGGCTTGAAGTCAGCTGAAGGCAATCACACCCGACCGTCAAGGCCAGGCTGTTGATCCCCTCCATTAGGACATCAAACAGGGAAACAGAGATGGAGATGGGGTGGAGGTGAGATCCTGCAAACACCTGATGTGAGGCCAGAATGGGTTTTAGGGCTGTTTTATGCCAGCTAGGTGGGTCTCATAGCTGTATAAGGGAGGTCGAAAAATACACCAAACCTCTATAAGAGGAGTAATAGACATTCAGGGTCATAGTCCTTTTTCAGTTTTGTTTAATTACCATCAAATACCGCCAGGGAACTGCAATAATGATGTAATAATTGAAAAGCAGATTAAACGCATTTGAAACTCACTTGTGTTTTTGCACATTGCACAGCGTATAGTTTTGCTATTTTGTGATTCTGTTATTCTTAAGGAATGCTTATCAGTGTTTGCCCGTGGTTACAGAAGGGCTTCTGTCTCATATATTCTAGATAATTTGTTTAATGAAAGAGATAATTTCCTTATTTTTGATTTAAAGCACAAGAAATTTGACTTTGCTAGAAGGACTGGCATCATGCCCAGGTTACCCTGCCTAACAATCTATAAGGGAGGTTTTTTCCCACATCATTGTGGCCTAAATTAGATAAATGGATATTGCACAATGGATGGCTATAAAGCATGTATGGATGGAAGAATGGATATTTAATTTCTATTTGAAATTTACAATGTAATCATTTTTTGTGAACTGAAAATGTGTGACTCAAAAACAAACGAAACCATAGCCAAAGATCCTAAACAGAATCAATACCATAACGAATTGTCATACTAATTAATATTACCTGTCACTGGTTGGTGAGTTTCACAATCATAGATATCATACAACACATAAATGACCTGTTTGTTCCAGTAGTTTGTCCCCCATACTTCTCACTTAAGAACACTGTAAAACAAACCTACCAACAAACTGACAGTTTTACATCTTAGTTTCTTTTTTGCTGGGAATATAAAATATAACAAAATGGCTTTATTTCATGTTTACACATGGTTGGACAAAACCACAATACACTTGCATGATCAGTCAAACTGAAACCTCTTTCACAGACCAGGCACATAAACATGAACATACTTAGAACAACAGTAGAAAACATACATGCTTTCATTTTTAATATAGAAATAAACTTAATTTTACATTTTCTCATTGTAATGAGTCAGTAAGAAACTCCTAGGAAATTAAAGTAACAACTGAAACAATAAATAAAGTGAAAACAATAGGTTTACCCTTATCTGGCTGATGTCAAAGCCATGTGAGTACTTAAACTTTATTTTCACATTGAACTTAAACAGCCATGCGTAGACACATGCTAGCTGAACACTGTGGAGTGTTTCGTTTGCAGAACTGTACTACGTGAAGCTGACGGGAGTGCACTGAATGAAACGAAGTTTTCTGAGGTCCGTGGAAACACATTTTAAGATTAATGTACCCTTTATTACCCTGACACGACTATGCAGCATACATAGTTCTCAATTTCCTAACATAAATATTCATTTTTAAAAAGAATAGAATTACTATTTCCAGCAGGTGAGCACGGCTTTAATAATGTGTTCATATGGAAATAAAATGGCTAAAATAATGTAAAGTAAAAAAAAAAAAAAAAAACGTGTACATTTCACAGCGAGGTTGGAAATCTTGTGGTTTGTAAGTACAGTTAAGCAGAACTGTCTCTGTGACATCAGCACAGCCTTTGTGGGAGAAGGCGCTGTTCAGCGTGAGTGTCACAACCGCGACTCCGACCACTGGACACGGCTCTGATGGCAGCATGGCTGTAACACTGGTCATCATCTGCACCTTGTTCTGCACCATCCACCCCCACTTTCCACTTTATATTTGAGCGGAGACCCTTTTATCTCTGCATGTTTGACTTCTCCTTATTATACTGTATAATTTTTTACTTTGCTAACATTATGACCAGCCATTTCCTCCTGCATGTGGAAACACAATAGCAAATGAAAAGAGAAAGAAATGAACACAAACCAATCTTGTGAGCTGAGTAGGCCACGCCCCGCTGGGGTCCTACGCTGCTTCTTGTCCGGCAGCAGGAGGTAAAGCCTCAACACTTTAATCCTTTGACAAAGTCACTTTAGCTCACAACGTTGTTGTAGCTCACATACTTTTTCTTTGCAGCCGGACCTGTGAATTAGAGGAGAAGACGTGCGTGATGTTTAAAGTCGGGGGAAAAAAGTCACTCAAGTACCCGTTTCAAATCGGCACAGGATTCTCAGTAACTGGCCCTTAGAGAAAATGTACGTGGTTTTTAGGCATCAAAATGGTTTTATTTTCTTTCATGTTTCCTTGCTTCCAGCTCTGTGAGAAACATAGACAGTTCTCACAAGAATATGGCCATTACACAGGCAGGGGAAACCACATGGTGCGTTGTGTTGTTATGAACAATATTGCCATGGAAACAGGGCAGAAAAACTGAAACCATTTTCAAAGGTACAGCAATCTTGTCCGAGCTGTATTATCCTTTTATCTCGTAAGGGGGGGGGGGAAGGTTGACAGGCTTCTTAAAAAGCAGCATAGCTATAAGCATTGCATTTCGTCTTAGTTAATTTGCTCCCACCTCTGTTTCCATGGCAACCCAATCCCTTGAGGCGATGCCATTATGGCTCTAATAATTTTTACTTTTTTGTAACTGTCTACAATAAGGAGGATAGACACTGCTGTTAGTGGAGGATTCTGTTGTTTCAAAGTTACTTAATGCATGGATGCACCTGGACAGAGAGCGAGTGCTGGGTAGTTAGGTTTTGGAAAAAAAATAAACAATCTGAATGTGACAGCCTTATGGTAGGACATAGTTAATCACGAGAGCTCCACCAGAAATACAAAAGGGAGCATATTTCCCTTGAAGTTACAGCAACTGCACACAACGTTTATCTTTTGAAATCTGCTAGAGGTTTCAATTTACGACAAATATGCTTTAAAGCTTTACCCTACTTAATCAAAGTGCATTTTAGGAGGTTGCATGTCTTTTTCAATTTATAGGGCTTGTAACAGAAAATTAATTAAACATTTAAAATGGGAGGATGCCCATAAACTTTAACCTCGTCTTCAGCAGAATAATTTTTAATCAGTTAAATGATGATCATGTCAGGGAGAAATGACTTGTGCACTAATGATACCGTTACAGCCTGGTTTCCACACGCTGCCCTGATCCTTTATCTTGCCTAAAGCTGTAGCAGTTGCAGCTGTTCCCAAAATCAAAGCTATAGAAGCAGCCTGCTTTACAGGAAGGCCTCAATGCAACGTTAGTATCGATCGATCATTGGAACCAAAAAAATCCCACTTCTGCAAAGTCTCGGAAATTAAAAGGTTTTCAGATGTCGTTTGGGTGCAATACCTTATTGGTGGTGTTATAATGCACATCTGTGTTACACAATGCAAGGAAAATACAGACGCTCCCTGGGTTACGATGGGGTTACGCTCCGAAAATCCTATCATGAGGCAAAAATATTGTAAGGCGAAAATGCATTTTAGTACAGTACACCTAACCTAACAAACGTCATAGCCTAGCCTAGCCTAGCTTAAACATGCTTAGAACACTTGCATTAGCCTACAGTTAGGCAAAATCATTAACACAAAGCCTATTTTATAATAAAGTGTTGAATATCTCATGTAATTTATTGAATAAACATACCTGTCGTAAAGTCGAAATACGCACCATCGTAACCTGGGGAGCTTCTATACAAACTTGCACACATATAGCTGGGGCTGGAATGTGACAGCCTCAAAGTCAGGCCAAAGTCCTCAACACTAAGCCACTAAATATTATTGCAAACAGAACCTCTTCAGTCATTGGTGGTAGTTTGTGAAAATTGCCTATTTTGCCTTTTTTCAGGGGTGACTGGTATTTCATGTAAAAATCAGCATCATTATCTATTCAGCTGAGACCCAGCAGGGAGCCTGGTAAAATTCATATACTGCCATAAAAAGGTAGAAGAGATCTCTGCATTTCACTGCAAGAATGAGACATTGCCTACAGCAGACAATGGGCTATGGAGAATGGAGATCTTCTTCTTGTTTACTTGTGCTATTATTAGAGGGTTTACAAAGAAACTGGCTTATAATTTTCCTGATAGCTTGCTCACCGCCACTCTCAGTAAGTATTTGAATGGGACCTGATTTTAGAAGGATGTCCTGTACATCACCTCCTCCCTGAACTGCGAATGATGAGTCATTCGATGTCCAGTAACACCCACTGCAGGCGTTTCTGGCTAGCTGGCACGGGCAATCTGCAACATTATGTCAAATGTGTAATTACCAGTGGGGAAGGGTACATTTAAGCAATTTAGTTGTTTAGCTAACACTTTTATCGGCAACATACAATTTACGTTTTACAGATGCTGACATCACCGGTATCGTCCCTGACTCACAATGTTATGCCATGCCATTTGTACAGCTAGATGCCGAATTGATTGCAGTTCATTGACTAATAGCTATCTAGCAGAAACATGGAAGCCGAAAACAATGCTGCTAGTCCGAATGCTTACGGTGTACATTAAAGCAGAACTGTTTTGCTCAAACAAACAAGTATCAGACAACGTGTGCTTTGTGGTTCCTGGGATAGGCTGCACGCTCACTGCAGCTCTGTGCCGGATAAACAGTAACGGAAAATAGATGGATGGAAAGTACATTACATCTTTTGAGCTGAAGTAGTTGGTATACTTGTGCAATGTTATTTACATTTGAAATAACGTATATTCTGATATCCTGATACAAATCTCTTGTCAAGACTGGCCTGATTCTGTCACTGGTTTTCAAGTAGGTGTCTATGCAAATAGCTACCTGACATCCTGGGCTGACTTTTGGTCACGATCTGTGTAGGAGAGTTCGATGTAAAATGTTGCAGGAAGTTGTCAAAAGAAAAGGTATTAAAATATATATTTATATATTGTTTTGATATGTTATGGGTTTGTCCTTCAACCTGTAGGTAATTAAGGAATTCAAACCCTTTTATGGTTTTTTTTGCATGTTTTTTCATCGTATATCTTGATCGTTGCGTGGGCATACGCAATAACAACCATTGCTGGCTAATAATTGTTGTTGGTATGATTTATTGAAACGTGGAAACAATGAAGCATATTTGCATTCTCTTGTTAAGTCAATTTATGTGTAACAATATCAGCATAATGCAAACGGAACAGCAGTGACACGCAAATAAAACTGACTGAAAGGGAAGAGGTGTTAAGAATGAGAACAGTGAGATGACTTTCTGGAAGACGTGTGGAACCAGAGGACCGGGGGTGGAAAGAGGCGGGGGCAATTTCCAGTCACCAGAACTCCAGTACTCCCAATAAAGAAATCATCAGCAAGTATACAGAGATACATTCTCCTAGATAATGGCACGTTAATTATTAAAAGCACATTCAAATGAAGAAAAAAAATGACAGGAATGGAAAGAAACATGAATAAATAAGTGTTTTGGTCTTGAACGGTATCTGATAAAATCCAAAATGGCGGTGTCAGTGGAGGCGGAACTCAATGGGCCCCCCCGGCACTAGCTGCTTCTGGGCCGCCTTCCTCAGAGAGCATCCTGTGGCCTTGACGTGACTTCCTGGTGGGTCGCCTCTCATCTCACGGCAAAGCCCAGCATGCAAAGAGCACAGTCACGAAACACGGTGGAAAAAATGTAGCGTGTAAAGGATTCTGAGTATCACCCCATCTCCAAAAAAGTTGGAATGCTGTGTAAAATGTAGATAAAATAAAATGCAATGATTTACAAATCATATAAACCCATATTAAATTGACAATAGAACAAAGATGACATTTCAAATGTTGAAACTGAGAAATGTTATTGTTCTATGACAAATATGTGCTCAATTTGAATTTGATGCCAGAAACATGTTACAAAAAAGTTGGGACAGGGACATGTTTACCACTGTGTTGCATCACTTCTTTTAACAACACTGTGTAAACGTTTGGGAAGTGAGCAAACCAGTTGCTGCAGTTTTTGCCTGATATAGGATTTCAACTGCTCAACAGTTCAGGGTCTGTTTGGTTGTATTTTTCATGTCATGATGCACCTAAAGATTTCAATGGGTGACAGGTCTGGATTTCAGGCCCGTGTAGCACTCGGACTCGGACGTGTAGTACGCACAGAATGCGGTTTGGCATTGTCTTGCTGAAATATAGAAGGCCTTCTCTGAAAAAGTTGTTGTCTGGATGGCAGCATATGTTGCTACAAAACCTGTACATATCGTTCAGCATTAATGGTGCCTTCCCAGATGTGCAAGCTACCCAAGCCATGGACCACAGCTCATCTTAAATGAACTCAGAGAAGTCGGTGGAGATTCTGGATCATGTTTAGAGATGGTTTCTTCTTTGCATGGTAGAGTTTCATCCTGCAGTTGTAGATGCAGTGACGAATTGTGTTCATAGACACTGGTTTTCGGACGTGTTCCTGAGCCAATGCAGTGATTTCCACTATAGAATCGTGTCTGTTTTTAATGCAGTGCCGCCTGAGGACCCGAAGATCACGGCTATCCAATACTGGGTTTTGACCGTGTCCCTTGCATGCAGAAATTTCTCCAGATTCCCTGAATTTCTCAATGATATTAAGTACCATAGATGACATTTCCAAAATTATTTGCAATATTACATTGAGGAGTATTATTAAAACGATTGCCCATGCAGTCTTTCACCTCTGCCTCACAGGGGGGCTTTTTTATGGCTAATCATCAGAGGTCCAAATCCAGACCAAGATTTTGTTTCAACCAACCAGTTAGGTACTCTATGACTGTGACTCTTTATACTCAACTGGTTGGTTGAAACAAAATCTGGTGTGGATTTGTACTCTCTGTACCTGAAATCTCCACCACTGCCAATCATCTTATTGTTACCTGTTACCAATTAACCATGTGTTTTTGTTTTCCAGTCTTTCGTTGCCCCGTCTCAACTTCTTTGAAGCGTGTTGCTGGCACCAAATTCAAATTGAGCATACATTTGTCATAAAACAATAAAATTTCTCAGTTTCAACATTTGATATGTTGTCTTTGTTTTACTTTCAATTAAATATGGGTTCATATGATTTGCAAATCATTGCATTCCGTATATTACATTTTTATAAATGTAAGAAAGGTTGTTGGCTAAAGGTTCTGGTAGCTTAACATGTTAGTTACTGAGCTGTGGCT